CAAGGCTCAGAGTTTGAAGAGAAAATGACACCACTCTCCGACTAGCAATAAAAGCAGCCCTCGCTGTCTAAAAACGTGCATAATTTATTATTCACATCCACTAAAAAATGCTCAGCCTCAGCCTCGTTCCACCAAAAAAACATCTTCAATTAAAACCACATGTGTGGTGGTTGCCGCTGGTCAGTGCCGGAGCTGGTGCGTTCAAAGACGCAAACGAGCGTAAAAATTCTAGCCTGACCTTTCACGCAAGGTCAGCTGAAATATGAAAGGGAGAACGTAGGCTTGACATATTTCACACAAACATGTTTCGGAGAGCAGAGGTGGCCAAAAGTACGGTTGACAAAAAAAATATTCCTAATCAGTTAGAGATGGATATGTATCGCTCTTCAAAATGCTTTGGTTAAAAACGCACTTGTGTGAAAACTAACATTATTTTTGGAACAGTAAAAGAGTTTAATGGTGGAAATGCCATGTGAGGGTCTAAGGGACAGTGCTTCACGAGAACCAGAGTGCTTTGTGTTAAAACCACCCGTGATATTGAAAAACTTAAATTTACCTCTAAATCACTTGACTGAGGCTCATCTGAATTTGAAAAGAGAGCACACACACACACACTAAATGCTTTTTGCACAGCACACACCGACATATATTTGCATTAGCAGAAAACTGGTTGTTCAAATAAAGTTTCAATCCCCAAATGTTCCTAAAATACGCATCAAAAAGCAACATGCCTAAATGTACACATGCCATCATGTTAGTCTCAACATTAACGTCCAAAACAAACACATTCCAGACCTTCTCTACCCAGAAAAACACCCACAGTGGGCTGGATACCAGCCTGCCATGCAATCCACACATTTATCAAAATAACATATTTAAAAAGACCTCCGAAAGTTAGGTTAGTAGTCTGTATAAACACGAAGAACAGCATAAAACAATCACTTATCACAGAACAAGTGATATATCAATTATAACCAGAACTCTAAAGTAGTCTGGTGTCCGCCGTTAGAGTGCTAAAACTATCATCTGAGGTGTAGCTGTTGCCGCTTGCAGCTGCTTGACGGCCATGCAAGTAACTAAATTACCCACTTTACTGCCATTTTCATGCCCCCTCTGAACGAAATGCTGTATTCTTGATCAACTTCATGAATTATCACTTTTACTCTAAGCACATAACATAATTCAATCACTCCACTCATCTATGGCACAAGCAGATCAAATGGAAATTGTATTCTTCACTTTATGCTTATGTTCATCTACATTTACACATGTCACATTTCAATTAGCAGGGAATCTGTTTATCATAAGAGGCAATATATCAAAGAACGGACATTGTAAAAACAAACAAAAAAAAGTCAAAAAAAAGTGTTTTAGTTCAACAAAAAAATAATTTGTCTTTACACACAGATGTGTATATAAAAAACTAAATATTATTTTATGAAAGCACACTTTCATAAAATAAATTCCAACGCCGTTTTATGTAAGTTTAAATGCTGCTAGTAAAAAAAATGAAGATTAAATAATTAAAAGATTAAACTAATTGAAAATGTCAGAAACATTTTACTTCTTCAAAGTAAATCATTTAGCATGATCCCTCATTGTTCAATCAAATGTTCGTCTTGTGATTTAATATAGGGTACAGTTGCATTGTGCAGTAAATGTCAACAGTGAATTAAGCAAAGACTCACCTATACTTTATATTAGATTTAAATGAATTGTGTTCAAAGCTCCATCAATCAGTTCTTAATAACATGAGATTTACACACTGCCAGATTATGAGGAAGATGATGATGCAAATATGTATTTTTCTTTGACTTATGTAGAGATGTATTCTTAAAAACAGAAAGTACAGAAAGAGAGCGAAATTATAGTGTACTTGGTTCAACTCCTGAGCTGTAGTTCCCTCTGCAGATTCACTTTTAATGCCCCGTACTGACATCTTTACATTTTTGCTGGTTTGTTTTGTGTTAGTTTTGCTGTCGCGAGTGTTTGAGGGCGAAACTAACAGCGCTGATTTGATCACGAAAAGAATAACAATCCATTAACTGTACGGTTTAAAAACAAAGGAAAAAGTTCATTTTGTTCATGCATCTGTGTAAAAATGAATCACTAAATAAAGACATTCAGTTTTGCATCACTTAGGCGAAAACTGACTAGTTGAAATAATAATAGCCTAATAAAAAAAATAACAACATTATCTCTTTGAAGTGCAAAGTTAATACTTTTTCATCTCTGTTTGAAATCTTATTTTGCATGTATACGAACCTTACTAACGTCACTGTATCTCGCTGTAATTGATGCATTTGAATTAATGATTATAAATAGGCTAATCGTGTTTGCCGAGTTAATCTTATTTTTATATTTCTTTTATTTAATTCGTAATATTTTTAATATGTAATTGTCTCAGTAACACATCGGTACAATCGACACTAAGCAATAGGCTAATCTTAAATACATTCGCTTTATTTCTCTTCACGTTCCGCTATAATAAATTATTATTTCTTAACACTGTATCTTATATAAATTAAAACTGACCAGTCAGAAGTTATGGGTTATTTGCCTAAAATCAGATTAGTATTTGCTGAAGGCCTGTTAAAAGCAATCAGCTTGACGGATAATAAGAAATAAATTAAGCCAACTTACATAAAATAACCGTAATTTAAATTTGTTGTTTATGTGCATGCTTCGGTGTTGTTTATTAACTTAAATTGTTTATAAGGAAAGTTTTGTTGCCAAGGCCAAGCAATATCTGATTATATACGTTACTGTGGAAGCAGCGTATGGTCTTTGGGAGGAAAAAATATATAAATACATCAAATAAAATAAATAAATGCACACTAACATATATTTATTCCAAATGACTTTATCTGATCTGTCTAAAAGTTTTTTTTTTTCTTCTTTTTTCGTTTTGATCAGATTTCAAAGCAGGTGATATTTTCAAACTCAGTTGCACATGTTCACTAAACTTGTTTTCAGTCTTTTTCACGATCGGGGTTCATTTTTTATCTAAAACCTTTCAACATTATTAATTACGTATTTTATCAAAAATGTGCATATATATAATTCCTATTCAGTTAGCCTATTATTCTCTCGTAGGCTACAGAATAATAACACGCTATCATCTCCGGTTTAAAAGTGTGAAGTAAAAAAAAAAAAGTTGCGTCGTCAAATCTATTGTGACACTGAGAGCTTTAGTATCCCGTTTGCAAAGGTCTAAGAAAATACACCGACTCTAATATTTCTTTCTATTGATCTGAATAAGTGTGTGTGTGATAACGCGTCCATGCATTCAAATCTGGGATACGTTACATTTTAATATTATACACGCTTAATCTCGCGAGGAGCAAATAGAAAGAAAGAAGAAAGAAAGAAAAAAAGAAAAAGAAGAAGTAAAAAGTGGATATGAACCTGTTAGGATATTGTGAAGAACTCTACTTTCACTCTACGGCTGGACCATGTGGATGTGTCCCTCCAGCTCTCGTGAATGTCCCAGTGACTCCAGAAACCTTCAGCAGAGCAACGCAAAAGGAAAAAAAAAATCCTGTTCTATGAGTGATGTCTTCAGACCATTACTTTCAGCGACAACTGTCTTTATTAGTCTTCCTTTCCTTTTTGACTGGCTTCCTCTCTCAGACTGGTCACTCAGTAGGGTGATAAGTGGAAACAATAATCGTGCACTAGCTCAAAGGCTGCATTGTCACAGCGCTCCGCAAAGTTCATGAAGAACAAGCACGCGGCTCTTTACGCCTCCTCGTCGCTTCAGGTCTTCTCTCTTTCTTTCAGTTAGTCACACGGTGAGTTTTCCTAAAGTCCCAATAATGCTTCTCGCTGGAGTTTTTGGCATCTCGTCTGTTCCTCGCTCATTCGCAGAGAAATCAGTGTTGAATTACTCCGCTTGTGTCTTCTGTTGGCGATGTGTTAGGGGACAGTTTGGTCTACCGTAATGCGTCTAGAACGGGGGCGCATACATCTTCTGCGCTGCTGCTTCTTGAAGCGCAACACAAAACCTCGCAGTGATCTCTTCACCTGCGCGCGCATCACGGGGTTAGTTTGGCCATTGTGGTTACCGACGAGCAACAGATGTTAGTTAAATGACAGACTCACCACGGGAACCGTTACCTGCTCCTCATCTACTCCTCAGCAAATAACAAGTTTGTTCTTGCTGCTTGCCATCTTTCAATCATACTTTGCTTTTGTTGTTGTCAATAATTGTTAAAAAATTTGAATTAGTTGTTCTAAATATTCTTCTTCTTTTTCTTACTATTATAGTAATAGTAATTATTGTTTAAAAAGTGTATAATCCTTGATAAAAATATTATAGATAGATATATAGAGAGATAACATTGTGTATAAGTAGGCTAATATACTTACCATTATATACATATACATATGATATATTGCTACGTATATTATTATTATATAAGTACATTTACAGTGTGTGTGTGTGTGTGTGTGTGTGTGTTTGTGTGACCCTGGACCACAGAACCAGTCATAAGGATCATTTTTTTGAAACTGACATTTATACATCATCTGAAAGCTGAATAAATACGCTTTCCATTGAGGTTTGTTAGGATAGGACAATATTTGGCTGAGATACAACTATTTGAAAAACTGGAATCTGAGGGTGCAAAAAAAATCTAAATATTGAGAAAATCACCTTTAAAATTGTCCAAATGAAGTCCTTAGCAACGACGTGAACAAGTTGCTGATTTATGAAAATCACCCCAACTTTTAATGGATAGTCAAGGTGATGCTTTATCAGTAATCTGTCATCTTATCAAAAATGTTCAAATATGATTTATTTTATGGTCAGTGGAAACTTTCTCTCAGCAAAAATTCTCTTTTACTTCAACCATCAAAAAAGGCAATCATTCACATCTCCACTGGACAATAGGATACGACCCCCATTAGTCAAGACATATTCATTAGAAAAATCAATAATCCACGATGTAGCCATGCTGGCCTAAAATGAAAGCAGCAGGCTCATAAAACAATGCTGACTTCACTTCTGTGTCCTGCCATATGGACCTCAGAGTCCTGGCCAAAAAAAAAAAAAAAAACTGACTAAACTTTAAGACTGTAGTTATAGCTTTAGATTTACTGAAAAAAAGTTATTTGTTATACTACTGTGTGTTTGATCACATCAGTCTGGGAAAAAGAAAAATCATACACTTTAGAACTACACTGAATATTTTGAGAAACAAAAGAACATGCTAAACTATTTTGATCTTGTGTGCATGTTTGCAAAGTTCCCCATCAGATTATCATGATTAAACACACACAAACACAGAATTACACAACTTGTTTTACCTCACGCACATGGTCAAGCATGACAAAGTCTGTGGTCCAAAACAGATACCTTGAGCCCATGGTAAGATGGACAGAAGGAGATTCGGTCTGCTCGCCATCACGGGGTTAAGATTAAACACTCTTGTGGTTTGGCCATCACAGGCTAATGAGGCACTCATGAAAGGATTATGAAGAACACATAGGATGACTGGCTCTCTAACTAACCTACACAGTTCACCTCACACAAGCACAAACACCTGCAAACAAGATTACAGCTGGATATATAAGAAATAGATTCCCAGCGAAAATCAATTTTAACAAATTTCCCATGTCCTTTCATTAAGCATTGTAGGACCATACACTGAAAAAAAAAAGTTACTTTGAAATAATTTTAACTCAAAAATTGCTAAATATCACAAATAATTCGCAAAGAACATTGAATTTAAAAATTAAATTTTGAAGTATAAAGACTGGAACTGGACTGGAATTTTTTTGTAAAACATACTCCAATAACTTTTCCTTTATTTACAACTTTGAAAAATATTTTTTTTTACGGTGTATATGTATTTTGGTTCATGTAATAATCAGAATCATGGATGCATTGAGATCTATAATGTGTCTTATTCCTTCATAAAATACATAAATGATGAACTAATGAACTTTCACATTTTTAATGGGAAAAAATGTGTCCATTAAAACGGTACTTCCGTTCACACAGACTCGGTAAGCCATTTTGATTAGTATTGTTGTGACATGCCATCATATGACCACAAGGAGGGTGAATTCTCACTCGGCTAAAGATCTGAATGTTTGTTACTTCATCAGTCCCAAAGCTGACATCAAAGCTGAGGATCAAGTCTAAAAGTATCAAGGTTACACACTGTTACGCTCCCTGAGAACCACCACCAGAGCCCGGGGACATGGAAAACAACACATCTATTTACTGTATGTTGTTTGTTTACTCGTTCATCTGTTTGTTATTTTCAGATTCTGTTCCTCACTCCTGCCAGGCAGTGGGATATTTGGTGATGCTATCTGCGTGTGTCTGTTTGTTTGTTTGTTTACTTGTTTGTGCTGGCATAATGTCCTTAGGGACCATAAACAAGACCAACAACGCTGGGAAAAAACCTTCATGGTCTATGAGGGCATTGCTGGACTAAAGCAAGGACACTGCAAGCGAACAAGAGCCATGCAGCCCTTCAGACATATTACAGTAGAAGACAAAGGTGAGTATCTTAGTCACTGTAATCTAATAACATTCTCTTTTATGAATGAAAAAATAAAAACTCCTCAGCACTTTCATCTAGCACTTTCGATTAACATTTAAGAGCAGGCTTTGTGGTTAATCAGGGGTAATAATTATCAAAGTCGACAGGTAATTAAATTAAACATAATTGGCTACACGAATTGGCTGTTCTACAACATTTTCCCCCACATAATTAAAGAGAAATATGTCAGTATTCAGAGAGAGAATGATTTAAAAAACAAAAAAAGGGGTTTAGTCACACTACAGAACTTGATGATGCTTACGAGGTGAGTTAAAACTGATAAAAAGTAGTTATCATTGAACTTTAGCGATCTATTTAGTCGGTAAACGAACCACTTTAATGGAATATTCTGGGTTCAATGCAAGTTCTCCTCAATTGACAGCATTTGTGGCATAATGTTGATTATCACGGAAATAACTGTCACTAAAATATGAAGGTTATGGTTTGAAATCTTATAATTTTATAAAACCACTTAACATTCTTTCTTTTCTGGTAAAATGTATGCATTATATGAGCTCTGAATTTGTTCACAAAATTTTTATAGGCAGTACGTCATAACAATGAAGTTCTAAAATAACTTTACACAGAAAAAGTTGTATTTTTCACACTAAAATCATGTTTACATGCATATTGTTTACAACAGTGAGTATTTTAATGTTTACAGATTTGCTCTATTCACTTCCATAATAAGTGCCTGACTGTAACCAGATTTTGCTTTAAAAAAAAAAAAGGAGAGAAATATTTTTTTTGTGGTATCAAGATTATGCCACAAGTGCTTTTAATTGAGTTTATGTATTGAACCTGAAGTCTTCAGTGTCAGCTGTTATATTAAAAATAATCAATTCAGAGGATAAAATAACAACTAGAAGTAAATTAGAAGAAGTGCTTGGGATTATTTATGTAGGTTTTGTGTCATAATCTCCACTAGTGAGACTAAGCTAAATTTAAGGTCACTTGTGACATGTGTCATTGGCCTAAATTGCATTTCAGCAGGCAGTGGAACAACAGACACCACACACACACATACAGGCCAACTCAGTTACAGACGACACAGGCCGTTGCCTGAGGATGTAGAGCAGCAAGTTTAGTGTGAGTGTGTCTGCATTTATTTGAAACTGTATTTGTGTGGTATTACGCTTAAAAATCATTTAACTGCCACGTGGGAGTAATGTAATTAAAAAAATATAAAATAAAAATTATTACTGTTTACAAACATACCCCAAGGTCCTTAATAGCAAAAGAAATTGAAACAGAACCAACCGCCCTTGAGATTTCATGGAGAAATGGGAGGAAAAAGTCAAAAGAGCTGTTTAGCAGTATTGAAACTGTACCTCCGAATAAGACACTATGGTGACAGCTGCAAGCCACTGTTTATGCCACAAGACAGTGGCAGTGTATGCGATACAAATTACACCGTTTGATTGGTGAGGAAGATCATAGACACACCAGCATGTTTTCATTAAATCGCCATAAACGTGTTTACAGGCCCAGCTGGCTTTGGTTAGAGGGTGTTAAATAAAGCAGCGCGGAATTGTTTACTCCTCTGCTGCCGTGTCTCTCTCTCCTCTTTACCCTCGCACTCGTCTTTTTGTCAACACTGTATCCATCCTCACATAAACCACATGGCCGAGCTGTCTTCGGGGAGCGGTAACTGATCCTAACGGTCCGTGTCATGTGAGGAACTTGATCTTGAATAAAGCTATAAAAAAAAAACAAAAAAAAAACCCCAGATCAGTCGGGAAGGAAAAAAGGAACCGGGATGAGGCCGCCGTTTAACGAGCTGTTTTAAGGTGCCGCGTTTTTCAAACAGAAAAAAGGGTTCAATTCTAGCCTGAGGCCACTAAGGAGCTGACCGACTCGGCCCAGCTCGACGCAGCTGTAGCCCAGTCACAGAGGCTCTGTGAGTGGGCTGAAGTGTCACCTGGCTCCCCTGAGAATAGTGAGGGGGGTGATGGGAGAAGCAGAGGGCTGCGGGATTGTGGGAGGGGGAGAGGAGTTTGCTAAGTTTTCATTCACTGGAGGTGGGGCCAGCGGCGGTACATATGAGGAGAGCTGCCGATCGTACAAAAGGAGGCGGCAAAAGGTCTCTTGTTGAGGCGGTGTGTCTGTACACACACACACACAAACCCTCTGCTCTCTTCCTCGGGTGCGATCTTGTATCAAAGCAAACAAATGACATGCTGTCTCCCTCCCACCTATTCTTTTTTTTGATCCGGTATTCACTAAAATGACACTCCATATCTCAACCGACTGACATTATCAATCTGCAGTATGCCCAAATCTTCCGGCCAAACTTGCAGTTCCCAGAGGAAATCCAGCGGCATTGTCCTTTGTTTGCGAAGAGATCCCACAGGAATCAGCC